GCGCCCCTGATCTAACCAATTAAGTTGATAATAGAAACATAAAGTTATCAGGCCTAATTTTGCGAGTCAATTAATTGGCCTGCTTAAATACATCAATCAAATCCAATTGTTGAACTCAGTGGAATTGCACCACTGTAAATTGGTGTGTAAATGAGAACAGATCATTTCCAATAACAGGCATGACCTGCTGGCAATGTCAATTTAAACTTGGATTTTTAAATTACATTAGTGTTATTTATAAAATCAGTGTGGATGAGAAAAACAGGGGAAGCGAGAGAGAGACTGCTGATATCATAAACCATGGCTGTTCAATTAGTAGCCCTCGGACTGCATTCAGGGTTAATGTGAGGACCCTGGCTTCCCAGCCAGCTCCCACTCCCCCATTGCTCCTTTCTTTCCCTTTTCCATGTCCTTGTGACAAAGTATTAGCAGATTCATAGATTCGTTGGAATCTGAGCACTTCTACTATGGCCTTGAACTTGCAGTCTCTGTGCTATCAAGCCCCCCACATTGCTTCTGCTGCTGCAATGACTAGAGTATCAGGGGTAGGACAGCAGTAGACAATAGGGGAAAGTGGATTTCCATTGATCACACAGTGGCAGGCCTGGGCTCACGTGGCAGTGGCAGTAGGTGGGAGCTCATGCTGCTCACGTAGTGAGGGTGGGGGCAGCAAGGCCTACACTGGTTGTACAGTAGGGGTCCTGGCAGCCGGCACAATAAGTGCCACCACAGCAAGTGGCCTGCAGTGTGTGACTGGGGGTGTATGCGGCAGCCCCTGGCTGTTCTGAAGTTGGACAGCCCTGTCATAAGCCATTAAGTGTAGAGTTCAAATAATGAGCCACACCACAGAAATTCACCAGTTTAGTTATGACAGAACTAAAAATGTCAAAAATAAAACTGAATTGGAAGAATTATATTAACCATTAAAAAGATTCTTCTGCGATGAAATGTTGCATAGAGGGCTTTTGATTGCAAGATTTGCTTTGGGTCCCTAAGGCAAATGCCATCATGTCTACAGAAAAATTGACAGATAGGCTGATGATGTTCTAGCACCTACTCCCTATCTTGAGGCATTTTTACATGTGCTCCAGGGTGGAGTGGGGGGCACTTTAATTAGAGTGGATCCAAAAGCTGCTCTAATTAAAGCACCTGCAGCATTGCATGTATTCAGCATCCTGTGCTTCACAATGGCAGCAGGGCACTTTAACTAAAACTCGTTTGAACGAGCTTTAGTTGAAGCACCCCTGCCACCAAGTGTGGGGATGCTGAATACACGAGATATGGAGGCTGCGAGAGCGTGCTAATTTGCAGGCTCCAGCAGCCTCAATTAATCGAGTTTGTTCTGATGTGTGCTAATCAGCATCCGTTGGAGCTGACATCCAACATGTATATATATGCCCTTGCCGACCAATGCTATCCCATTCTTTTCTTGTGCTCCCAAGCCTCCCTCTATCCATCTCTTTCTTTTCTTAGTTTGAAAGCTCTCTTCCCACTATGATAACAACATTGCTACCATTGAAGTTAATGGCAAAACTCCAACTGACTTCAAAGGGATCAAGATTGGGCACAAAATGTTTCAAGTGTTCTTACCCCCCATCCAATAAAAACATTCTTCACCTTATGCAAACAGTGAGGTCTGCTTGCAGAGATAATAGGTTATTGGTAGTGACCAAAACAATGCGTTTATTCTGCTAATAGTCCATAACTCAGGGTTTGGATGGAAAAGTTAGCTTTGTACAGTGAAGGCCAAATTCAATTCTCAAAGAAACATGTAACTGAAATAAAATTTGGCCCATTTTAAAAGCAACTTAACTTTTAACTAGAGAGGTGGGATATTGCAATGAATATAGCATTAGATGTAACTGGAGTCTGGGCCTGTATTCCTGGTGCTGCTACTGAGTTCCTGTATGATGCAGAAGTCACTTAAATTCTCTGAGTAGCAGGTTCCACATCTGTAAAGTGTGGATAATAATTCTTATTTGCGTTTACAAAATGAAGTGGGATCTACAGGTTAAAAGTGATATATATATTTATAAATGCTAGGCACCATTAGGTATTCTAGAGCTGCATCACTGTGCATATTCCCACCGGATATCCATAACAGCTGAAGTAAAGCTTATCTCATAAACATCTGGTGTGTGCAGCCACTAGTGAGATTCTAGTTCAGATGCACCTCAACCGCTTGCTCATGCAGAGAGGGCAAGAAAATCCCAAAGTCACAGTGCAGTTTCAGGAACAATAAATATGATCACTGTCACCTGACAAATCCAGGAAAAGCACTGAGGACAAAACCAAGGTCTCTACTTGTTGAGAGTTTTGTTGATATCAAAAGCGGTCATGGCCAGTCAAGTCAGGCTCTGGATCCTTACGGAGAGGCTCCAGAGCCTCACAGAGAACAATGTGAGGAGTCCCAAACAGTACTTAACTCCACAAAGGTAGGTGCAGCTACATCAGGACTACCAGTGACCTTTCCCCGACGTGAATGGATTGAAGCTAGGATGTGGTCTTGGACCAATTCTTTTCACACTAGTCTGTACAGCCATATGGGACAGAACAACCAATGCCTCAAAAGAACATGTCTCCACGCCACTGGGAAACTGCTCAATCTTTCTAGATGTGAGCAAAGTCAAAGTCACTAAACAAACCACCCAGGAACTCTAGTATGTTGCTGACTGGGCACTGGTGGCATTAACAGGAAGTTTAATCCCTCCACGGATTCCATTCTTATTCAGTGAATCCACCAAGCTAAATGGAGAGTCTACAAAGCAGTGGGACTGACAACTCTGCTGTACAGACATGAGAGAGTATACAGAGGCACAATCAGGAGCTAGAGAGACCACAACAAAGCTTCCTGTGATCTTGCTTCAGTTCACTGGCATGTTAAAGTGATAAATACTGAGGTTTTGCAGCATACCGACTGAAAACTGAACCATTAATTGCAAGGGCTCAGTTGTGTTGGGCTGAACGTGTACAAACAGATGACCCAAGAATGACCTAGTAGGTGCTTTGCAGCAAGCTAGAACTCAGCAAGAAACAATGAGGCTGCCTAGCAGGATTTGAGGGCTCTCTTACATGACATGCTGCAAAGGCACACAGTAGCTCACCAATGGTGAATCAATGTAGAGGTAGCTGCTGTGCATTTCAAACACTAACCAACCATTGAGGAAAATCAAAAGACAAGGAACAATCACAGCAGCAGGTGGATTTAAAGGATGTGTGGAAATGTGAAATCATGGAAGGGGCTACTTGTCTCCCATTGGCCTCCTTAGTTACTTGTGTAACCAACACACCTTGATTTGACCACCCACTAACTATCACAACACAGCCATCCTCCACCGTGAGACAACAGACACAGTGATAATCACTGTGCATGTGGTGAGGTAATAGCAAATGCACATTTCAAATTCCCTCCTGTGTTTCTTTTCATGAACTCAGTACTAATCTATGGAATTTACCCTGAAGGGTAAATAATTCCTTTGCTGAACTACAGGAATTTTAATGGAGAGGGCTCTACATAGCAGTGTGCCTTTGTACAAATAGACTCTTAAGTCCCATAGAAGGAAATTATTTTACTACTTCCTTAAACAGAGGACTGGGAGGTAAAAAATAAAAGAAGAAGGGGGGACACTATTTTCAATTCATACTTCTGCTCTAGAATCTTTCCTTCAAATATCACCAATAACTTCTGAATACAGCTTAGTTGAGAAATCAGGGATATTTGTGGGGTACTATGTACTCAGACCACTCTAAAAGAAAAAAAACAACCAACCAACCAACCAACAAAAAACCCCCAAACAGCAGCAAAATAGAGACAGACAAGAATGAGAGAAATACTAGAATTATGTCATAAAGGGAGGGACTTCTCAAAATAAAGATAAGTCCAAACACTTCCCAAGCACCGAATGGGTTCAGAGCCTGAATTTTGTGCAATGAACCTTTCTCAAGTTAACACACTACTGCACGTAAACAAAGTTGCCAGAAAAGATGGTTTTGGTCTCATTTCAGGTAACTCATTCATTTTGTTAAAAAACAAAAATAACTTTGCAGCAATTGCAATGTCTCTCAGTATGTATTGCTTTAATATCATTAGGTATAAACAGCAAGAGATAATGGCCTATAATCCAAGCCTATTATTTTAATCGGAGGGCATCATATTGCAGTTTAAGGCAAATTGTTGATTAAGAAGATTGGAAAGTTGCATCAAGCAAATTGTTTTCTTGTCCCTGAATGCAAAAACTGTTCAGTGTGGTTATGTCAGTTCACACTGTCCCTACCACCCCTAGCTGGAGAGCAGCAAAGCTCACTTTGGTGGAAATCATGCATCAGTGCTATGCAAGTTAAAGTTAACACCTGAACCTCTTGTAGTGCTTGCACTCCCAAATCCCACAGCAGAACAGTACAAATATCTGGCAGCCAGCGTATCAGCTCTGCCCAGGCCCATTCAACAGTAGGTCCCGTTTTAATCAGATAACGGTCCAGTGTCTTCTCAGGCAAACGGGAGTAAATCCAGAGCAGCACGACTGAGTTCAGGCAGGGTGCTCCACATGTCAGGCTGCCACACCCGAGTGGAGCTGGGCTCAGGGTTCACAAGCACCTTGAATCTGTCCCAGATGAAGCGCAGAGGCAGAGCTCCCCCCGCCACCCAGCCTGGCGCCGGCCCCCGCCCCCGCAGCCCGCTCTCGCGGTTCACTAGCTCAGGCGGCCGGCCGGCCTGCACAGCGCGGCCACGCGGGGCGAGCGAGCCGGGAACTCTGCCCCCGGCTGGAAGGAGGGAGCCCAGCATCGCCCCCGGGGGGGGGGGGGCTGTCTAC